CACCCCCCCCCCCCCCCCCCCCCACCCCCCCCCCCCCCCCCCCCCAGTCAACCCCCATCACTCGTGCTTTATAGTAATAACAATGGCTTGTTATTAACCTATATTTCTGATTGTTCATTACCAAGATAAGTTCATCTTACTGCCCGATTGCCCGTATTGTCCTAACAACCAGAATTCTTTTTAAAGATTGAAAGTAACATCTGGTTTTGTGATGTAAACATTTGCTCACTGGAAATGGTTGCATTTTGTAAATGATGCACAACTGGAAAAAACTCATAAAGTACAAGAACGCTGTCTCTCGTCTCTCTTGCAGAGCTGACGGATACACTGAAAAATTTGACTTGAAGACGGAAAATTATTGTCTAACCATATACAATATGGTGATAATCTCTCTCTGTAATGGTGGAATACTATATAAAAATAAACTAGACATGTATAACCATCCATCTTCCATAACCGGTCTGTGCTGGAGGCAGTGTGTGGCTCGGTGGGTCTGGACACTGCGTCTGTGCTGGAGGCAGTGTGTGGCTCGGAGGGTCAGGACACTGCGTCTGTGCTGGAGGCAGTGTGTGGCTCGGTGGGTCTGGACACTGCGTCTGTGCTGGAGGCAGTGTGTGGCTCGGTGGCTCAGGACACTGCGTCTGTGATTGGAGGGCTGCTAGTACACAGCACAAGGTTGGCACCATGATTTCACTGTTGGGCACTTGTGCAAGGCTCTTAATCCCAATTCCTCCAAGGACTGTCTGACCCCCCTTTCTCAAAAGCGTACATGACTTTGGACGAAAGCTTGTACTTAGTTTAATGTACAGCTACATTTGATAACTGGTTATGGAAGATGGATGTTAATTTCTACACAAGATGTTTTTGTCATTCTAGTAGCAAATTATTTTATTCATACCAGGCTTCTTGTGGAAAGAACCTTAAGCATATATGTTTGCATATATGATAAATCAATGGATAAAAATATAAGTTTGTGTAAAGATACAAATTATACGATATTATATAATTGTTTAATATATAATAAATTGTATGACGTATATGAGGGATCCCTAAATTCTTTATGACCACCGACTGGCATACATTGTGTAGAACGTTCACAAACCAAAGGATTATACACGTTTAATAGGGAGACACTGTCATCATCATAGCTTGTTTACTAACTGTTTGCTAACTTTTGCTACCACCAGCTCCATTTCTTCAAACGTCTTCTTCTAAGCTTGTAGGTAAATCATGTATCAATAAACTTTATTAAAATATCTTGATGTGAGTTGCTTGTATTTCTTTGCTGATAAAAAAAAAAACTGCATAGACAGTGAAGTTCCTCTCCTGAATTTGGGCCATCGACTGCAAAAATAATAGTACAATGACGAGTAACCATATTTATTCACATTAAGGAAATACACAGCTGAACTGACATTGAACAGCTGCCTGACCAAGCAGTGGCCTATCCACTCCTGCCAATTGCACACATTTATAGCCAATCAGGTTAATTCCAGGCAGGCATCAAGTACTGCAAGCATTTAACATTGTTTAACAAGTAAACACAGCTTTGACCTAATTGACATCTACGAATGGCCACATCCGGAATGAAAGATGACAGCTTCCTGTTCAAAAAAGGGCATGCTGATGTGGCACATTCTGATTGGCTACTGGAGGAAGGGCTTCTCTTATGAGGCTCATGTAAAAGAGACAACAGCAATGCATTTAATTAACCACTGAATCTTTACTGTAAACTAAATCTTAAAATTTAAGACAGTTCACCTGACAGTACCTTAATCTCAGTGTATTTTACAGTGTCAATATATAAAATTAAATGAGAGAATAATAAGCCTGTACACTAAAAATGTAATTAATTTTAAATGATAGAATATGGGCTCCATTATACAGTAAGTTACCAGCAAACGAAGCATTAATCTCACTTAGCAGATAAACACATGATTAAGCTTTAGTCTACTAGCAGATTTGTAAAATAACAGAAAATGCCAACTATATACATGTTAATAGGTGCAATTTGGTTGCATTGAATCTGGAAACGTGAATTTACATAGTGTCCCCTGGACACTCTCCTAACGAAATTCGGACAGTGAAATATTTCTAGTTTGTCAATAGATAGATTACTAGCTGGGTAGGAAGTACGATTTGATTATTTTGATTCCATTAATTGATGATGCTGCGATGCTTTGCCTTGATTTTCACAATACTGGAGTATATACCATATATACCAAGGCTTGTTTTTGCTCACAAATTGTGCAAGCTATAGCTCGACTTTTTGAGGATATCTGGTTTTGGTATCATTAATTAATACATTTTTTTAAGTTTTTAAACTGCTTCCCTTTTACATTTTATTCCCGCGTTCAGGTTTTCTCCATAGATTAACGGACTTGTGCACAGGTGTCCCTGTAGCCCTGAATACACGTCTACTGATAGGTTTACGTCGTAAGATACCTGGGACTGTGTCTGGTCATTAAATGGTGCAGCATGAAATGTAGTGTGGGTAAATGACTGCTGTTTAGCTCAAACTGATACACTATTCATTAGTAAGAAAAGTTAAATCCAAAAGCTCTTTACTACTAAACTAAGCCAGGATATGCAGGGATGCTGTAACCGGAAGGCATAGACTGATGACGAGTGGGAAGACACAGACTGATTATGAGTGGGAAGACATAGACTGATGACGAGTGGGAAGACACAAACTGATGACGAGTGGGAAGACATAGACTGATGACGAGTGGGAAGACACAGACTGATGACGAGTGGCATCGCACCATGTACAGCCTTGAGGGCCAGTTACAACAACTGTGGGCCGACTTGCCGCAGGAGAGGATACTACGGCTGTACGACTCCCTTCCGCACCATGTCGCCGCATGTATCCAGGCCCGGGGTGGGGGGGGTTGCCACACCCTACTGACATGGCACCAGCAGTGTGCCCATACTGCCAACTATGTTGTCTGTTTGATTTGATATTATGATCATTGCGATACAGTCACATGATCTTTCACCACATGCAGATTCACTTAATTTCCACCACTCCGTCTGAGTGCTTAACTTTTTTTTGTCATGTGTGTGTATATAATATTCGGTACTCCTTTAGTGGCTTTCGTACGTGCCTGAATAGACCTTAATATGTCCCAAAGATGCATGCATTTTATTGTGTTACATTTTCAGTTGGCAGGTCTAGTCAGGTGGCACGGGGTGGGTCTCGGCCGACCCCCCCCCCCCCAAAACGCATGATGTCACATTCTCGCGTGACGTCACATTCTCGCGTGACTTTGGTAACTCTGTGCCGCCATTGCTGGGTATCGTGGCATCAACGGAAGATTTCCAGCATGGATGCATTCATTCGGATTTGCTTTTTCATGCTAATGTTCATCAAAATATGTGGTATGCAAATGCGAATATTTATTGCTCTCTTTGCAAGTTACTGCGTTGTTTGGTAGTTAATAAATAACAACAAACTAAATAAGCTGCGTAGAAGGTTTAAAAATGAAATGAGTTGCTACAATATCGCTCAGAACAGAGAAACTACTAAGTTGATCACACTACAAGAAAGAATGTCACATTGTTTACATTGTTGCAAGGACAGATTTCTGAAAGGATTGTTTTGAACGAACCTGTTTTCATAGAATAACCAGCATCCTTTGTACGTACGTGTACCTTTTTTTGCTCGGTGCATTGTGTTCCGGTACATAATTGCCTTTTATGTAGAAATCTATTATTTAGCCTGTAATCAATGTCTTTGCAAAAAATGGGAGTTAACTTGTATCCTCATTTTCAGAAAGTGCATAGTAATGCTCTGTTTATGTGGTCATGTTGTGGTTTTTTTTAGTTGTTGTGGTTATTAATGAGTTCTAACCTGTTTTTTTTATTTATTTAAGCAATCTTGGTGCTTGTTGTTGTAATTTTGCGGCTGTTGGGAGTAACAGACTGCTGACAGTGTGGGGAGTGGGGGGTGGTTATTGCTTATGAATGGTGAGGCTCGGGGGGGCCGTGATACAGGTCTACTCCCAGTGTGAACGTGTTTGTTTCAGCTGTTACTTACACCTGACTTTGAATTTTACACTTTGCAGGCTGTACAAGTGTAAGCGGTGCTGGAGCAGGAGCTACACAACAGCAGTACAACTGCACATAACTATTAACAAAGCAAGAAATTAATGAGACTATTGAATACCCAAGAACTTAATGAGACTATTGAACACCCAATAAATGCAACATAACAGCACAGAACAATCAGGTTAGGAGAGGCATTCATGGAGCAGATGGGTCTTGAGGCATTTTTTGAAGGTAGAGAGGGAGTCTGATGACCAGACATGGTTCAGCATCTCATTCCACCATCGGGAATCCCACAAGAGAACCATCTGGAGTGATACTTCTCACATGGAGGACGGAGCTCCTAGTGGTGCTTGCTTGCTGACCAACGGGGGCAAGATGGGATGTAGGTCTTGAGAAGCCTTTTAATGGAGATGGCTGCCTGTCCAATAATACACCTGTAAGCCAGCACCAAGGACTGGCTCCCTATTGGAGGAGAGAGAAGGAGTGATCTGAGATGAGAACATGTAGGTTGAATAAATATCAGCCATGCTTCCACATTTTGAATCATCTGCAGTGGTCAGATGGGCACAAGCTAGTAGATCTGACAGTAGAGAGTTGCAGATGTCAAGACTGTACTAGGAACTGACCTGCAAACTGAGATCCTGAGAACTGAAATAGGAATGTTCAGTTTGAAGATAATCAGTCAGTCAGTCACTGTGACTCTTCACCTTGTGTCTCATACTGTATGAGTCAGTATAGTCCTTCTGAACCTGTCATCCTACATAACCTCTGATGTGCAATATTTCTTATAGCAGTGTTGCTTTACAATGTATCTTTACAGTACACTCAACACTGCACTACTGCAGCATTAGGAACATTATGGTGCAGTAATCCCAGATGTGCAATACTTTTAAAATGAAAATCTGTTTTTACTTTTTATTTCTATTTTTTATTCTTACTTGTTTTATTTTTACTTTTACTGTATGCTACAATGTCTTGTTAGTAACTGATCTTGTGCCCCTATAACTCTTTACTCATTTCTCATCTTTACTGCTGAATCAGTACAAATGAAATGGGAAGATTCAATTTGAAGAGAATCAGCCAGTCAGTTGCTGTAACTCTTCACCTTGTGTCTCATATTAGTCAGTCTAGTCCTCGAAAACTTGTGATGGCAAACCACTGTCGCCTTCCTGTTGTCTTACAGAACGTCCCTCTGGCATTTATCGAATACACCCCCTTTTTAAGAAACTCGAGTGCTGAGGTAGAACAGGTCCTCTCTGGGAGCATCTACCTCAGACGATGTCTTAACCTGACTTACTCTGCTACTGATGACAAGTTTGAGGTAGGCTCTCCTATCTCGGCGTAGCTTGTGACAATGGCAAAAATACTGTGCATGTTTTCAGACTTTTAAAGCAAAATATTAATTTAACTTTTCTTTTTGATATTTAAGGAAATGTGTCTCCACTTCATTGTCACAGGTAAGAGTTAACAGTTTGGTGGTAGTTTTGTCTTGTGTAAATCGTTCTATAAACTTTGTAGACCCAAATCTTACACTGTAGATTACATGTGCAGAGTATTTCAAATCAATGAGGCTATTCTGCTGTCTTATTCCAGGATGTACTGAAGAAGAACAGAATAATGCATATAAAGCTACATCGAACTTACATTACTTGGCTCTTTTGGGTGAGTGTCTCTTTGTTTCAGAATAATCTTTGGGCCACATCCAAGTGTTACCACCCTACCTTGTACCATGTGGTTTTTACAGCAATTGGATTTTTATGTTTGGAGACTGAAGATATTTTTAATAAGAAAAACATAATTCTTCTCATATATTTGAGTGACTTTATATTTTAGGCGGCCATGTACTATTATTATTATCATTATTATTATTAATAATAATAATAATAATAATAATAATAATAATAATAATAATAATAAAAAAACAAGAATAATAATATTAATAATAATGATGTGTTTATACCCTTTGCAGTTCCCATCATTGCATGCATTTTGGGGATCGAGTGAAAAATTGGGTGAGTTTTAAAATGTAATTATACCCTATAGTGTAACTGGTATTGATTGTAATTACTTAAAACTGACTGGCTTTGTGCATTACGGATATTGCAGACAAGGGAGTTCCATTTTATCATAGGAACGTCAAAAATGATTTTAAACTCAATTAGCTTTTAAATGGTGCTTCTAATACTGAGAAAGAATTAAACTAACCTCTCACTTTTGCTTTTAGGTGCCTCAGACGGAGGGTGTCATGCCTTCCCACACGGAAATAACCTATATAAACATATATGTTTTAATATAGGTTTTGATATAGGTTTTCAATATATGTGACATATATAAAATTGGCGTTTTCCTATATTACATGTACATATATGTACGCATATATGTGCATATAACATAGGAAAACGGCCAATTTTATATATGTTACATATATTAAAAACACATATGTTTATATAGGTTGGACTGCATTTATATAGTGCTTTTCTACTCTTACGAGTACTCAAATCGCTTTACAATTTATGCCTCACACACATACACACACACGCACACACGCACACACACACACACACACACACACCAGGGGTGGAGGCTGCCATGCAAGGCACCAACCTGCACACTGGGAGCAATTTGGGGATCAGTGTCTTGCTCAAGGACACTTTGATGGGGTCAGGAGGAACCGGGGCTTGAACCTGCAACCCTCCAGTTGCCGAACGATAGCACTACCATATATCCCTTGTCAGTGCTCTTTCAGTGGGGGGTAATGCATGAATAAACTGTTATTAATTTTATTTGTTTGCTTCAGGTTATTTCCGTGTGGGATGTGAATCTGGAAGTGACTTGAAATTGGAAAAAAGACTTGATTGACAAAATAAAAAAAACGACAAACCATTTTGTTATACATTTCCTTCTTTTCCACTATTTTCATACAAGAAAGAATTGACCTTGTAAATGTTTCAGGAAAACGTGTAGACATCATAGCTTTCCATCTCCTCTCACTTATTTGCCATAGTTAAATTCCATAACATGCCAATTACATGTGATACCTATTTCACGTGTTCGCACATAAGTTTTTTTTTATTTATTTTTTTTTAGTTAGTTCTTCGTTATTGCCTTGATAATAGAAAATATGAGCTAGGCATCATGTATGACAGTTGCCAAAGTGAGATATGAGCTAAAATGACCAGATCCTGCCATGAGCTATATAGGAGACATATCTTGTATGTACATATAGGGCTTATATGTGGATATAAAGAAGCAATACAGGAGACCTATATGGCCTGTATATGCACATATATGCTCCTCAATTTTGCCTATATGTGGCATATATACGCATATATGCAGCATATATATTATCATATATATGCATATATACTGCATATAGGTTTCATATATGCGCATATATCCTCATATAGGTTCTTTCCATGTGGGTTAGGAATGGGCGGAGGCAGCCTGTCGATGATCAGAATATGACCAGGAAGGACAGAGAGACATTTTCGTAGTTGATATAGCCATCCTGTCTCCCTTTGGTGTAAAATCACCTAATTTTAAGAAACAATGCGGTTTTGATTTCTGACAAAGGCTAGATGTAGTAAAAGATATTTTTATTAGACAGATAACATTATATACATACATACATAGGTAAAAATTAGTTATTGATTTTCACCAGCAGACATACGGGTATTTGTACTTGGTCCATGCCTGATTTTTGCGTGTCTGTAGCCATTGTGCAGTGAGCCTTCCTGCCTATAATGGGACCTCCATGTGTCTCGATGTTGTGTAGTGTTGCTGTTGCTTGACTGTGGTCCTTTTAAGGCTTATAGTAAAAAGGAAACTTTAAGTTTCCTGGATTACCGTGAAGTACTGAGAAGTTTCTTCTCAGACAATACAAATTATGTTTCACAATGTAGTTAAACTTTTCACATTGATGTATTTTCGAATGATGGTTTTCCGAACCAGCTTCCTTTTTCACAATGCCACTTTTCATAATGAAAGTGCGCTCTGCACAGTGAGTAGTTAGAAATGTACCGAGAAGTTAAGGATGTGGTAATGGAGGTTATGAGTTAAATGCGCCAATTAGCTGAGCAAACACTAACAGGTACTTTAAGACAATATGACCCCTTAATGCAGATTATTGCGTGGAAAATAAGTGCATTTAATGACACAGAAATCGATGAAGAACCTTTAACGCGGTTTTCCACTGCCGACAAAAGCCGAGCTGTACCGGAACCAAACCTCTCAGAACTGACTGACTCAGGAGTTCTCGCATATGGGTTCTGTGTCATCCGGAGGGCTGGCTGGAAACATTCCGGGAACAAACATTCAGGGATTCAATTACAAGTTCATTCCCGCACCCTAATAGTGATACACAGAGCGCACCTTCATTATGAAAAGTGGAATTGCGAAAGAAAAAGCCGATTTGGAAAACCGTCATTCGAGAAAACATCAATGGGAATAGGACAAGCAGTTACAGAAAACGGATGGATGGATGCAGGGGCGTAGGTTTCATATTAACATTGCGTGCGGATATATCGAGGTCAGCGGTGAGACATCACATCGCTTAAAAGATGATTCTGTAATTGCGCTGTGTACTACGGAAGTCTGTAGAGGACATGTATCAACTTTTTTTTTTCTTTTCGTTTTCTCGAGATCACGACTTACTGTTTTCTTGTGATCTCGACATAACCCATGTCACTTTCCCGTGATCTCGCGACAGGTTTAGTATTATCCTCGATCATGGACGAATGCATCAGATTTTACTTTGATCGTGGACTGTCCCAATCAGAATCAGAATCATAAGACTTTTAATCCCGGAGGAAATTGGTCGCACTGCGACTGCACAATCACACATAAACACAAAGACAAGAACAATACAGCATAAGTATAAAAATAGGAATGAAGTGTGAATGAATCTCTGTAAGAGGAATCTATAGGCTAAGTACTTTTGTCCAAAAGTTACAGGAAAATAAAAGTGTATAGGAGTATGTTGCACAGTAAAGTAAAAGTATATATATTGCACCAATATCATAAGTGGTTATATTGCACTTGTTTGTAAAACCAAATTAGATTTCAAACTGTGGGAAAAAGTCGAAATATATTGCACCGAATCATGGATACAAGGAAATAAAAGTGTGTCGGTGCTAGACAATTGTCGTATTAGTGTTCGTCATTTGAGAAGGAAGCTCAGAAATTTACAGCTATACCGTCGGAGAAATTATAGTTAGCCTAAACGAGTAGTCAGTTTCATTTCCAACCAACTGCAGAGTCCGGGACGTCTCAGTGGTTACCGGGTGATGTTTGAAAGATGTCGGCGTAAAAAATAAGAAAAAAATAAGTTGATGCATGTCCTGTATACAGTCTGTTTTTTTCGTATACTATTGCTGTTATATCTACAATATATATAATGACTTTTATCTTTCAGTTTTACTGTTATTCATCTTCACTAATATGGTAGTTTAAGTGCGTTAAGTCCCGCATTTTGTGGGTATTTTTAACGCACAATTTGCGAGATTCCACCACGAATGTCAGGCCATTCATTGTGGAAAAATGACCTTACCTCACGGTCCAGTGTGATGCCCCTGTCACTCTCCTGCACCCTGTCCCTCTCACAAACACATCCTAAATTTCCCGAAACACAACATCTAGCAGCTAGATGACCTTCTCCTAGAGACCCATATTAGTAAATATAGATTTAGGCCTCTATGTCTTCTAGTACTTTCTGCCAGCACTGTTTATGAACTGAATGGTTCTGGAGTTTATGGTTATTGAATAACTTGGGCTTCTTACTCATTCTTACGCCGTAACAGCAAACACGATAGGAAGAGAATTGTGACTGACACAGACGCTATGTACCGCTGCGTAATCAGCCTTGCTGTTTGTGTTATGCTGTTTTCTAAACAAGCTAGTTTCAGTTTGACCAATCAAATAAAACAATCTCCATGAAACTTAATCGACATGAAACGATTAAATTCCACCATTTCACATAGCTTTTGTTGATTAACTTTTGGTTATGATACAAGGTCTTCCCGGAGTTAAACCCGAACCCGAACCGCGCGTCTGCGCTCAGCGCTCTCAATGTTAATTGGCCCTTTACTCGCGCGTCTGGAGCTGAGCGTCTGTCTGCCGGAGCGGGAGCTGAGAATAAACCGTTTTAACGGAGGGCAGGGGTTCTCCAAATAAAAACTATAAGAAAATAACTTTAAATTATGTAATCAGACATATTAATCGTATGTGTTGTTTTTTTTTTTTTTTTTTAAATATATTTAAAAAAAAAAAAACAGGAATTTTTTGTGATATTGTCGAGGGGGGTGATCCCCCCATCTCGACGCCTATGGATGGATGTTTTATCTTTCTTTTTGAGTACGATGACGTTCCATACGAGAAAATGTGTTCCTTCTCTCATTGTCGACGGGGTGTGGTGCATATGCATGGTTTAGCTAGATGGGCTTCGGCATCCACACAAACGCATAAATCTGGTCCTACAATAACTTCTCCTTATTCTTCATCCTTATAGCAGCTTTCGACCCAAACTTTAATGTACAGACGCCAGGATGAGTGGCTATACTGTCAATCAATCTTTCTTAAAACGATCCACACTCGAGACAGGAATAAGTCAACGTTAAAAGAAAATGTCACCAACTAAAATCTCCAACAGGAACACAGAACATAGTCTAGTTGAAAGAAACTTGCTAATAATTGTACAAAAGAATATTAAAAATATATGTTCAAAACCTGTATGACATCAAATAACCAGTGATGAACTGGGACATTAAATCGTGTTTATTACCGCAAGAAGTCACGTTATTATTCTGAATATTTAGACAAGAAAGCTGGCTAAAAGACACACTTTTCCTGTTGTACCTCTGATTGTGGTATATCTCCATAGGCGAAATATATTTAATACCAAACCTAAAGATACGCTTCTTGCTTTGGGCAAGGATGTATTACCTACGAATATAAAAACTAATATACACAATATATGCAAAATCACGATCATTTAAGATGACATCACCGTTGCAGAAACGGCAGGGTTAAGTAAGGAAGTAGGTTGGTAGGTTGATATATAGAGAGTGTGCAGAAAGTTTCTTTATTTTGTATTTCTGTGGTTATAAATCAGGACTCAGAAGTTCAACGCAGACGAAAAACGGAGCCACCAACAGCGACCCGAAACTAGCCAGAACATAATTCTGAATACTGCAACTGGCGGTGACATTAAAAAGTTCATAAAGTCAAAGTGACAGAAATGCAGTTCTCTCACTGTGAAATATGTACGTAAATTTATTGCACATCAGACTATACAAATCACACAAGAGTCCACATCGGGAAACTTTACGGTAATCCAGTTAATCTA